AGTGTTCAGATTCATTTGTTCCTTCCAAATTAGTTGTAGTGTTTGTTGTGGCCAATACATGCTATGCATTTTATATTATCTGTATTTCTTTTTCTCAATTAATTTTTCATGTATTGCTTCATGCACTATTGAAATATAAAATTTTGGCCTCATCATGTCTTTCAAAGAGTAAATATATTGTGTTTTGGACTTATATAGTAGTGATGACACAATTTTGATTTTTTCTTAAATTTTGCAAGGAATAGTGTTTTTTTTTAGGGCTTTTTAATTTTAATTTTAATTATTTGATCTATTTACAGAACTTAGATAATTGAAAAATGGCGAGTTCTTCAATGTGTGTTCTATGTTTGTTTCAATGTAGTAATTTATTGTCTAAATCTAACTGTTTGGAGAGGTTTGCCTTACATTCATGTTTAGAATCTTTGCTCAATGCTATTTTTCATGTGTTTTAGCCAATGATGGGTTCAATATTATGCTTACAGGTGGTATATTCAGAGCAATTAGAGAAGTACATAAATTTTGTGCTCAAAGAAGGTGATTAGTTACCAAACAAATTAGAAGAATATTTTTTGTTGTAATTGTGAAACATGCAATTGTCACTCTTAAACATTGGTTTACTAAATTGTTTTGGTATTGTTCAGATTCAAATTGTAAAATCATTTGATTCAGTGATATTATAGTAAGCTATTCATGCATTTATTATTGTTCTTCTTATTGTTTTTATTACTGCAATGAGTTTATTTTGTTGTTAAATTAGAGTTGCTTTTAAAAAATTATATGCTCTTCAATGAGGGTGATTTGCAATCAAATTGTGTTGGCAGTCTTTAAGCATGGATTACCCGCTAATGATTGGTTTAATTTTCCTATTTAATTTTTATTTAGGAATTATGACCTCTAAATCCATTTTTAACTATACCATCTCACTTGTCTCAAACAAACTATACCATTTCACAATTGGGTAATCCTCTGGCACAATACACACCATATGTAACTCTTGTCAGAAAATTAAGTAAGTTTATACGAATTTACATAAGTGACGTCAAAATAATACGAAAATTGAATACAAATCCCTGTGAGTTCACTTTTATGAATAGACTCACACGAATTATGTATTTTTGTAAAACCAATTATATAAATTTGTGAAAACTTAAATAATTTTTTGGTAGGATTGCGTACACTAAGGGCTTGTTTGGAAAGTTAGGTTTAGACTAAGGCATTATTTGGCATACCTGTCACGCCCCGAAAAATAACGCAACAAAGATTCATCAACTTCCAATTACATAATCTTGAATTCCAACTCAATAACTTCCATTGTTTAATGTAACGGAAATAAAGTCTCAACATGGACATCATCATCAAATCTCCAACATTTGTATTCATTGATCATCAAGAGATTTACAAAAAATATTCTACATGCGAATATATATTCAACATTCCTAGAATATAAATCTATAGCATGTGGCACAATAAGTCAAGTACAAATTAATGCCCTCAAGGGCCACAAATTCCAAGGCTTAAGCTTGGTTACACAAAACTAGTTTTTCGAACCCATACATATAAAGCCCTTGGCTTGTCAAAAATAATTATAACAAAAAGAAAAGATCCTTGTGCTCTCAAAATATATTCCACGCCTCTAATTCGGTAGGATCACCACATCATTTCCTGCACAAGATCTCATAGGGTGAGCACAAAGCCCAGTAGGAAAATCTTAACAAAGTATATACATTTTATACAATCTCCTGAGATTAATGCATATGTCATGCCGTATTCAAAAACATATATCTCTATCTTTTGAAACCTTTGTGCACAATGCAATTTGAGAATTTAACAATTCAACGATTTCAATGTAGTTCAAAGGGGCGGTAAATACGATTCAAGTAATCTCTAGGTTGGTGTCTGCAAGTAGGCATGACAAGTACTACCAATCCCCACTTTACCGGTTGTTAACCGGAAAGCACGTAGTACCTCCTCCGCGCGTATTTTCGATCTTTCACCATAGACACGCAAGCCAACTTAACCAATACTAACTACACCCCCTATCCGAACTTACCAACGTGTTTACCCCAAAACAATTCCAAATCATCTTGTTTTACAAAACAATTCCTTTCTCAAAGCAATAAGTTTTCCCAATGCAAGATTCAAAATCAATTGCAATAATAATTCAATGGAATGGCAAAGCAAAATGTCCAATGCAATAATATGGTTCCATTTAATGATCTCAACAATGTCGATTCGAAAGGTGATGACAATGAAATAAAATGTCAATGCAATGTATTTCTATATCAATGCCTTAAAATTTCGCAATTCATCCACATAATCTTCCATTGTGATCAAATTCTCACATCTCTTATCCATATAACATCATAATATATGTTTTCAAGAGCTAATATAACAATATAAACATTCATGTATTCTCCACATATTAAACATCATTTTTAGCATTTGGTCTTTCCAAAATAACAACAACAAGCTATTTCTCAACCTTCCCAAATCAACAATTTCTCATTTTCTCATGAAATTTCTTCATTTGATACAACTATAGAAATTTCCTCCATCAGTTACTCACATAACAAATTATCAAGTATCAATTTCACAATATCTCAACTTTTTTTCAAAATTCCCAAATTCTAGGGTTTCACCAAAACAAGGTTTGTGTTCCATTTTTGAAAAGATTTATTCAAAACAACACCCATACCATAGAACATAGCTCATATTATCAAAAGTTTTGAGAAAAATAGATAAAATCATCTTCTAATATCATCTAGGATTCAACAATCCAAATTCATAACTCAAATATGTAGTAAAACAAGCATAATCTTGCAAAAACATATATATAACTCAAAGATTATTCCTACCTCAAGCTTTGGGAAATGAAAAGGAAGAAAACCGTAGAACTCAAAGTTGGTGAAAACTCAATCTAATCGGTTATAAATGTAGCCCCCGTCCCCCTCTTCGATTTGGTGTAAAAAGTCCCTTTAAACTCTCGAAGATTTGAGCTAAATCTTAAAGAGAAGTTGGATTTTGGTGTGTTTGTAGAGAGAATGGAAAGAAAAGATGAGTATAAAGAGAGAGAGAGAGAGAGAAGTGAAAAATCTGTATAAACACGTTTTTGGCATTAGTTTTGAGGAAAAGAGCATGAATTTCGAAACAAACGCGCTGAAATCCGCACGAGAGGTTACAATTCCGTACGAGCAAAATTTCCAACCCGCATGTAGATTTTTTTACTCATGGGTGGTTTGCTCTAGAGAGCTGCCTAGAAAAATCTACCAAAATCCGCTTGAGCAATTTTCTACCCAGAAAACTCTAAAAACTTTGAAAAACTCTATGAGAATCTGCTCGAGCAGTTTCCAAATCTGCACAAGCAATTTTTCCCAGACTCTCAGAATTGATAATACAACCCAAGACACGTTCTAATGTCCAAAACTTAAAATTTTCAACCTGGAAAGGTTATGAGAGGTTAAGTAAGAGTAGAAAAAAAAATTTAACAACCCAAAACGCCGAAAGTAATGCACACAAACTTACTACTCAATATTAGTCAAGTCCAAGACCCGAGACATCACAATACCTATGTTAGCATATTTTTTTATCATTTTATCTTTTTAGGTCACATCATCTCTCTAATTTTTTTGTACATCTTTTCATAAAAAGTTAAAAATTATACTTATTTAGATCATTCCAAATACGCTCTAAAATAATCAATAAAGATAAAATAAATTAAAATAATTAACAAAACAAAAAACCACATCTAAACTATAATAATTTCACCTTTTTTCTCATAATTATTAAATTAATTAAAAAATAATTATAATTCTAAATACAACTTTTTTAATGAAGTTAAAATAAATAGGGTAAATTACATTAACACCCCTTAAGATTTATGTTTATTACAGTTCCCCCCTCACCTTTTGAAAATTACATCCCCTCCTTGAGATTTAAAGTTTCATTACAGATTGTCCCCTGAGGTTTAAAGTTTCATAACAGTTCTCTCTCACCGTAATGATTATCATACATAAAATTAAATTAACAGGGGGGTCAGTGTAATTTTCTAAATGTGAGGGAATGAACTGTAATAAACATAAACTTCAGGAGTGTCCGTGTAATTTACCCAAATAAATAATAAAAAAAAAATTAAAAGATGAACTAAAACAACAGGAGATGGGAGATGGCCTTACCCGCTAATCATGGTTTTAAAAATCGGACCGGACCGGCCGGTTCAACCGGTTGAACCGCCGACCGGTCGAGGTTCCGGTCCGGGTACACCCATAGAACCTGTCACAGTGAAAAACCGGCCTATTTTGGGAGAACCGGGAAAACCGGCGGTCGGACCGGTGAACCGGTCGACCCGGTTCCGGTTCACCGGGTTGATAAAAACGAAATTTTGATTTTTTTTTTCTTTTTTTTATTCTTTCTTTCTTTCTTTTCTTTCTTTCTTTCTTATATTATATATATATTATATATTATATATATATATAATAAAAATTTAATTGGAAACTCTCTTTTAAGGGTCTCCTCTTGTGAGGAATCCCATTGAGAGCTTGAAATTATTGTGAAAGCCTCTATCTATTTATAAGAAAAAAATTCTTCCAAAAAAACTCAAGAAATCTATGTGGGATTCAATCAAATCTATTGGAGGGAAACTTAAAGTTTTGATATCCCTCCAAAATTTTTGCTCTTCTTTCAATCAAATTATTTGAATTAAAATCATATGGAGGGAATATTGAATATTGAATATTTGATTTCTTCTTCCAAAATTAAAATTAATAATATTTTTAAATATATTTTTATATTTTTTAATAAAAAAATATTAAGAGAAATATTTAAGATTATTAAAATTTTTAATTTATAATTTTATTACTTGTATTTTTATTTAAATATAATTTTAATATATTTATGACGTCACGGTTCGATTCCAGTTCAACCCGATGATTAAACCGATGACCCGTCCACCTAATCATTTTTCCGATTCAGTCACCGGTCCGATTTTTAAAACACCGCCGCTAATTATCCTTGACAATTTGAGAAGTTGGATTGGACAGAAATAAAAAAAAAAAAACAGTTGTGTTGTGGTTGGGTCGATGGAAGCGGGAAGACTTCAGAGTCCCATCAGCATCATCGTCCTCCTCCCATTCAACACCAAACAACGCTCTCTTCCTCATCGTCTCCCCTCTTTCGCTCGCTCCATTAGGGCTTCTTCCAACTTACAGGTACATACATCTATGTCTCTCCCTATATAAAGGTCTCTCTATGACTCTTGACACATTTCCATGTCTCTCTCAAATGGAAGGGAGGTTACAGAGGACCGAAGCCGAGAAGGGAATGGGTGGCCGATTGGGTATCCAGAAACGACGATGTTGTCCGGACTTTCCCAATCTATGTCGGCGGCATCTCTCTTTTGGCTGTTCTCTTCAATCGCGCCCTTTCCGGCATAGCTCTTGTTTCCGATGCCGGCAGGTCTAAATTTCTATGTCCTTTTAATCAAAGATTCTTCATCTTCTTATTGTTTCCCCCATTTATATATATATATATTGGCTATGCATTCAATTTACTGTAATATAGTGTACTGCCTTTTCACCATTCTGGGTTACCTTGCTTTTCATTTGCTCAAATTTGGAGTAGAAGCTTTATTTGATATTATATTATATGAAGCACTCCAATTGACAAACTCATATTTAAACTTAAATTTTTGGGTAAATTACCAATTGTTGCTACTTTTGGGACTTATGATAAATTTATCAGTCTCTCTTGTTAATAAGTAGTTAGTAGGACTGATTGGTAAGTGAATCTCAAAGCTTTAGTATTGGCAGAGTTGTAAATTTGAAAGCTACAAAATGGTCTTCCAAAAAATTAAGGTTCCCTTGATTTGGGTAAAAAATAAAAAATAAATAAAATAAATAGAAAAAAAAAAAAAAAGAAAGGGTAAAACTCAATCTGATAAAGTTTGAGGCATGGAGTGGAGAGGATTTTTTTTAGTGATATTTACCCAAATTTATATTTGATATTAGTTTCAGTCAAGGTATGGAGATGTCGTTAAAGGGTGTATATAGTTTACTCAATTTCAGGTCAATGACTGGTTAGAATGGAATGTGAAATTTTGATTATGTCTATGGATGATATAAACTTTCTTTGAGGAAGTTTCAACTTGATGGTTAGAAGCACCTAGATGTTGGAACTACTGAAATTGCCCATTAATGGCATGTTTGATTGGAAGGATTAGAGTATGGGATTGGGATTATTAATCCGCGGGCCCAATTATCCTATGTTTGTTTTGACATTTTGTTTTAGGATTAGTAATAGGGTAGGAGTGGGATTGTGAATACCACACTAATTTGATTGGATTATTAATACCTCACTATTAGTCTTGTGGAATCAAACATGACCTAAGAGTATTGGTAGAGTTTCTTTGTTGGATGAGGAGAAATTCAATGCTGCTGCTTGGTCTATGCACCTCGATTTCTCTAGAAGCAACCATTTGTGCTCTGCCCCTTCCCCCAAAAAATCAAATTTTATTCAGGCTGAGAGTGTGAGACTTTTGCCAAATCGATGTACGACCATTCCATGCTTTGAAAATTTTATCAATTGCTTTGGGAAGAGCTACTATTTCCTCAGCAACAGGGCTGGCCTTTGGTTTAACAATTTGAGATTGGTTTTGGGGGAAAGGTCTTCTAGCTATCTATGGGGGTGTTTGTTTGGGGGATTAGAGGGTAGGATAGGACTCTATGTCCATTCCATGTAATAGTCCAATGTTTGGTTCAAAAAATGTAACCTGGACTAATTGGTTTTGGGGGAAAGATCCATTGGCCCTCCAGATTATTGTACTTTAGTAAAATAAAATAAAATTTAAAAGTCTCAACTAAAAATTAAAATAAATTGGTTTAATTTTTATTGATGTTATATTTATTTAATTTTTTAGAAGTTCTAGCAGAAAAATAAAATATAATTTATAACTCATATTTAGTTTTTCTATTATTTAGTAAACAATTCAAAAGGATAAAATAGTCTTTTGAGCATTTATGCTTCTTCATAATATCCCAAACAAGCATATGGCTTCTTCATAATATCCCAAAACAAGCATGTGATTCAATAGAATAGTCATTTCTTAACATCTAATCTCATGACTAAACAAATATGGGATACACATCCTTTCTAACCAAATAGTATAGGGACTATGTATCCCAAAATTAACAATTCGATAAATTACAATCTCTCTTATCCAGTCCGTCCAAACAAAGACTTAGGTTACATAATACTTTCACATTGTATTATTCACACACCATTTGAGGTTGTCAGATTGTGCCTGATGGTATGAATGAGCAAATTTCTGGGGGGAGAATAAAGTGACAAAAGAAACTTGACAGATGATAATTTGGTGATATTAAATATGAAGTCGATTGCTGAAATTAACTTGAGTGCAAAAAAATAGAAGGATTTGTGTTGGAACTTCACAAATTTTCTCACTGATCAAATCAGCATTAGCTGACAAGCATTAGGGAGACTGCAACTTAAAATGAGAATAATGCTATTCTTAAGCATGAGTTCATCTATTGTAAAGTCCTACAACGATCAAATGGGTTAAATGCTGTCAATTTGAGATGGAAAGGACCATATAAAGTGCAAAGAAAAAATAGGAACTCTAAGACTACTGTGTCAAACATCACTTGTTTTTAATAGATATCAAACAAAGAGAGATGGCATTTCTAGGTGGGCAATTTTGCAGCAAAAGGGTCTGAAGAGTTAATGGAGTATCAATATTCTATCCCGAGTTCCTGACATCTCCAAGTTGAGTTACAACTATCTTTTTTCAGAATAATGAGCAATAGGTATCCCAATTATTATAATTTTGCTTAGTTGAGTTATAATGACACTTGTTTTATTTTTAGAATACTAAATTGATTTGTATACTCCAGGTAGCTGATTTCTTGCTGCAAGTTTAATTTTTTATGGCTGTCATAGTTTTTATAAGTAGTTTTAGATAGTCTCATAATTGCTTTTCTTCCTTTTTTTTTTCCCTGGTGCTCACAATTATCTAAAACCTTGTCATCAAGCAGTTCCCAGTCTAGAGCGGATCTATTGACACTTGGTTTGGCAGTAACGAATATTCTAACTGGTTTGGTGTGGCTGTCAATCCGACCAAAAACTATATTAGTGGTGAGGGTGCAGCATTTTTTGTCTTCCAAATTTAATACATTTCACTTGATTTTATTTACATCTATTTGATTTTAGGAAATATTTTGAAAGTGAAATAAATTTTGATTTCAGGTAAATCCTGAAGGCGTGGAGTGTCAAAGGATAAATTCTCATCTTCCTGATTTTGTAGTTTCTGAGTTACTATGGTACTACAGCTTCTGTAACTCATGCAACCGTTCTTAAGTGTCTTATTCTCTATCCATCTGCTTTTCTTATGCTCACTTTATTTTCATAATAAAATAAATAAATAAGTACATATGAATGAACACAGGTGAGGTTATATCAGAAGTTCTTGTTTCAGCATACATGTCTCCTTCTGTATTTATCCTCAATTTTAAAGTTCATTTTCTGAAATTTGTTTCCAAATTCAATCATCACTGCATTTGAAAACTATGATAATGCTAGCTATTTATGATGAAATTTTATGTTGGATAGAAAACTATGAAATTTTAATGTTTGGTATACTAGCACAACCATCTTTTCTTTTCCAAATAGCAATTTAATTTAATACCTTTCTCTTAGGGCTGATGGCCCTAAATTTATGTGATGTCATGCGACAATGGATTTTTCTTTGGTAAGGTTATGAAGATAAACATATAGATGTGCAGGTAAAAGAGAATTGATATCTCATGAATAAATTAAGATTGGCTGATAAGGACAACACGGCATTTTCTTTTTAACGGATGGAAGTTTCAGTTGTCTCAAATGCTCTTTAATGATCCTCTTACCTATTCTCAGGGCATGGGAATCTCTTTCAGTCGCGACTATATGCAGGTCTTTAGTTATTGTTTATGATGGCGAATTTATCTTTCAAATTGGATTTGCTGCTGCATCTCCTGCTAGTGACAAGGAAGCAGTGCCTGTGGATGCCAATAACTTGATGCAAGGTTCACTCTACCAAAGTGTGTTAAAATCTGGGTCACGTAAGTAACATGATATGAACTAGGTATTCTGTGTCATATTTCCCAGCTACTTTGGTATGTTACGATATTTTAAAAAAAAAAAAAAAAAACACGCCCAATGAAAAGCTAATTTCAAAACAATGACCATCCATAATTCCTACTATTCAGAGAGTTACTTGGCCAACCTATCTCTGTATCCTGGGAAGTCACAGCTGCCATTTCTGCCTTCAAACACACAGGTAATCATGTTTCGTTTTTTATGAAGTTGACTTGCTTTTCTCACTTTCGAAATACTTGTTTCATTGTTGGAAGTAGATTTTTACAAGTTCTATTCCATGCTTTCATTAAAAAATAATCTTGTTTTGAGAGTTTCTAATCAAGAGAGTAATTTTTTATTTCTGCTAAAATGTTTATATTTGCTTATCAAGGACATCAGTTGCATAAATCGGGAGAAGAAAGTTAAGAACATCAAGTTACTGTGGTGTGATTGTTTATTTCATGACAGCTAATTCAGGCTTCTTCATGACTGCTGATACAAATTATAATGTACTAGGCAGTCATTTTGCAACCACTTGGAGACGAAGGAATTGCAATAATTGGTGGTGACACAATTAGGGGCTTCACAACTTCCGACCAGGTGCTGCCTTCTTAACCTCAGAGATTTTAGCTCTATGTTTGTCTACTGTAGCATCTTTATGCATCTAAAATCCTTCTTTTGTTTTATTTCATTTTCTCATCTCGTGGAGGATCTAATTCCTATTTCAGGAAGTGTTTTTCTTTAAACATTTTATGCATAAGTTTGTATGTCTCCAGCCAATTAAGCTCATTTTCAGGACCCAAATTGACAAAAGTTAGTTTATGTTCTAGCATTCTTGTCTTTATGCACTTGTAATTAATTTCCATTAAATTTTGTTTTTCTTTTTTGTGAACAAACTGATAATCAACTTTGCGCTCAATCAAATATTCATTTCGATCATTCTTAAGATAAACATTTTACGTATAAGTATGTAATTCCTTTTCACTTTTGTTTACAGGCATGGATTTCGTTAATTGGGGAGAAGCTGGATGCTACACTTACAAAATTTGTGAACAACAAACCACCTGTGGCTGTGCATGATAGAGTTTGAAACCAATCAACTTCTCAAAGGTCTTCACTTTATTTCAGCCTAGCATTCCATGAAGGTTTTTATTAAGGCAAGTTTTTTGTTGAAATCAATAAACTTCTCTTTCTATTTTTGTACACTTTTTACATTGTGGATTCCCACACCCCATGTGAGAGGGAGAGTAAAAATAGTAGGTAAAAAATTACGTACATCTAGCATTACTTTTATTATTTGTTTGAAGGACACATTAGGGACACTTCATGGACATGCGTGTACTGTGTTTGGACACACCTCAAGACATTTTTGCTATTTGTTTTTTTAAATAATAATTTTAGAAAGTTTATTTGGAGTCAATGTAAAATATAGAATAAAGAGGGAAAAAGTGGGGGAAAAAATAAAATAAAATGCATCCACAAATACATCGGTGCTTCTCATGTTTATGGATCCTAAATTTATATTCATATACACAGTAAAGAAAAATATAAAATATATATATATATATATATTGCCATGTCCCACCCATTAATTGTCCTAATTTATTGAGAATCCATGTGTCCCGTGTCTATGCTTTTTAGCTTCAAGTTGTTTGACTATGATTTTTGGGAAACTTAACAATCTTTTTTTTAGGTTTTCCAGGAGGATATTTGATCTGCATGAGTGAGATGTTCCTTGATGTTTGTGGTTTTTGGAAAGCACTTTCAATGCCAACAAGACTTATAAGTTAGAAGAAAGATTCTGATCCTGTATGCAGCCTGCCAATGTGAATATGAGAAATGCATATATGATACCCACCTCCACCCGCCTCGCTCTTTCGATCCGTTTTGGTAACTTTCCTAACTATGGCCCTGTTTGGTACAGCTTAATTTCAGCTTATTTCAGCTTTTAGCTTAATTTAAGCTATTTTGATGTGTTTGGTTTAGCTTATAGCTGTGGTTTTTGGAAAGCACTTTCAATGCCTACAAGACTTATAAGTTAGAAGAAAGATTCTGGTCCTGTATGTAGCCTGCCAATGTGAATATGAGAAATGCATATATGATACCCACCTCCACCCGCCTCGCTCTTTCGATCCGTTTTGGTAACTTTCCTAACTATGTCAAGTTGTAAATTATATTTCCATTGACACTTTCTTTATAAAGTCAAAGACTTTCTCCATGCACTCTTAACTTGGTAAAGTTCTTGTTTCTTTGCTACCTGTTCTTAACCATATCTGTGAAAAGTATGTATTATTAAATAGAGAGGTTACATATTTGACTCTTGTAGTTTTTTCCATGCATGGATGATGAAAATTTTCAGTTCATTCAGAAATTCTTCTCTTTTATTCAAATTTTCCCTTCAAACTCCTTCGTTTGCTTCATTCAGAAATTCTTCTCTTTTATTCAAATTTTCCCTTCAAACTCCTTCGTTTGCACGTGTTCAAGTTTTCATCTCTGTAATCGTAAACATGCTAGAGTACTATTTTACTGCATCGAAAGTATACGCTATACAAATTTACAAGTTGCTCTGGGTGTAAAATATTTATGGCATGTTTGATTGGAAGGATTAAAGCATAGGATTGGGATTATTAATCCGTGGGCCCAATCATCCTATGTTTGTTTTGACATTTTAGTTTAGGATTATTAATCCAATGGATAATTAATCCAACAAATTTGTAGGATTATTAGTAATGGGGTAGGGGTGGGATAACTAATACCACACTAATTTAATAGGATTATTAATACCTCACTATTAGTGTTGTGAATCAAACATGACCTTAATGTACTAAAATAGCAGTGTATTTTTTGCGCAATTTTTTTTTATTTATCCAATCAATCACCACCGCTAACTATTAAATTAATAGATTCAAAGAATTTTGTAGAGAGTGTTAATTGTTATTTTGCAGTTGGAAGTCACATAAAAAAAAATTAAATATTAAACAAATACTCCATCAAACTAGCCTTTTCAATTATCAAATCTGTTGAGACTTAAATCATCTCTACAAGTAGCTAGCCATCAAGCCTCGACAAATATAGTTAAATAATAAAATATAAGACTAGGATTACACAATTATTTTTTTGAAATTTAATTTTGTTCGCATATTTGATAAGTGTATAAACCAACCAACTTTTTTATTACTTAAACTAATGGGATATTTTAAATGGTTGTGTATGAACAAAATAGTTTTTCTTGTACAAAATTGTAAGCATACTGAAAAACAAAGAATAAATTGAAAAATATATATATATTGAAGTGGATAAAAAATAGAGACGAAATGATATTATTTATATTAGAAAGATATAAAAAAAAAACACACATTGAAAATGTGTCGGTTTAAAAATATTTGATCAAAAGTTGAACTATTGAAAAATGTTAGTTTAAAAAAATATGACTGTTAGAAAAATAAAAATAAAAAACTAATAAAATAAAAATATTTAAATAGAACAGAAAAATAATAGAGTTTATTGGAGGATGTATTTGAAAAAGTGATTAGCTAAAATAAAAAAGTAACTTTTTAGTTAAAATTTGACTATTTTGATAAAGATGCTCTAAAGGGGTGAAATTTGAGGCAAAATTTGATTATTTTCTCTTCTATTATGGGATTATAACGTGTTGTTATTTTCTTTGCATTATCAGCTATTCATTATCGTGGTTATTGGGCTTGAATTGTTTTTTTCTTCTTATTATAGACTATTTCCTGTAACGGTTGTTGGGTTAGGTTAGTGGCTATTGGGCTTGAATTGTTTTTTTTTTTATTGTCATGACAGACTATATTTCTTGTAATGGTTTCAACTATAATTATTCGGATTGATTTAATTCTTATAGTTTTAATAATTGGCAAAAAAATCTATCAAACTTATCCAAGATTAATTTTTGTTATGCTATAGTACTAAAATATTATAATTTAACAATTATGTTTTAATAATGCAAATGTTGTCTTTTATATTTCTCATAGAATATCAAATAAAAATATTATTTATGAGCCTTGTGACATGCTATGTTTCCCCTCTCCATTCCCAAGTAAAGGGTGAGTCTCATGCCTCAGTTTGTGGATGGCGGTCTCACGCACTAATCCCTACAGGTGCCCGGAGTAGGCCGGTCGCCCTGCCTAAACCAATCATCATATCGGTCCCTAGGCCCCATTGCTAGAAAGGCTCAGCTTTAAAATCGTACGCGGAGTTTCTGCCTCATACGGCTCCTCTAGGGATGGAGGTAGGCCCAGCCCAGGCTTGTGCGGTTAAGGTTGTTGTACACGACCTCATAAGAATCAAAAAAAAAAGGTCTCCGGGTTTGTAAAGAAAGAGGTCATGTCGAGCCTTCACTTTAGTGAGAATCTCAAATGGACGACTTTTTTCAAAGTCTTTTTCCATTTCCTCTAGATATGCTAGTAAAGTAGATTCTGAAAGGGATCGCCCCCTTGAATAAAAAAGAAATCCTCCGATTTTATCCTGATTGGCATTGATGCTTATTGGGGGATAGCCCTGCTGACCCAGAGCCCTTAAATTGCACAAAAAATGAGCGGATAGGTTTCATTTTAGAATTCACTTCGATAATTTGAATCGTTTAATTTTTTAAACTGTAGAACATATTTGTAAAAAAAAATAAATTAATCATATATCGGTAATCTTTTCATCAAGCTACATTTGTATTCAATTTTACATTTTTTTTAAAGTTTTATATTTTAAATTATATTTACTATTTATTTTTTCAGACACATGTAATTTGATGAAAATACTACCGATATCCGATCAATTTAATATTTTATAAATATGTTCTATTCAATATATTCTAAAACATAAACAGTTTGAATTATTAAAATAAAATTTAAAAAGAGTCTTAATGGCCCTACAATAATGGCTATTGTGCGAGGTGCCACCCTAATTCCTCATCATAAAAGTACAAGATTTTTTTTTCAAATTTAAATAATGTAAATTTTATGTCAAATTCAACACAATTTGATTTGACATATTTTAACATCCCATTGGTCATTTTAAACTTTGTCAAGAAATATAACGTGTCATTGGAAATGTAGATAAAGCCAAATTGCAATGTTAGATCATATTGGCCAATATTATGATAAAACTATCCGATTCATGTTGAACATGTTAATCAATTGTAACATGAATTTGACCCTTTTTTCTTATACGAACCAAAATTGGGTTAAACAAATGTGCCTCCACTTTATGTGTCATTATGTAGACTACTTTTATTTGTTAGGAAAGGTCGACCAGTTCTTTCACTATAGGAAAACTCGAAACAAATTTTTTTTAATTTATTATATAGAATATTCTAAGCTAGCTTACGCGTACCAAATTAAATTTCTACAACCCGAACAAGCCTTCTGAAACAGGATTTACGCCATGCGATCCGTGACTCCAAGATATGCATTTGCTGATTAAGAGATTCGAGCCGAAGACCTGCGAGGAAGCAAACCTCCAGAGCCCAGTCGTATCTAAGCCAACCACATTGTGGTTAAAACTCAACACTATACACAACAATCTTGCAAAATGCCAAAAGATACATGTATAAATACTTCTTCCCTGTACAAATAGCACTGATCTTCCTGCAATGGGGTGCAAAATTAAACCAACCTAAAATCAAAATAGAAATGATTTCCAAAGCAGAGTGCAACTATTAGTCTGATACTCTTCTAATCAGACCCCTCAAAATGAAGAATTTCTCATAAACCAAACAGATATGTTCTTCTGGGTTCTTTTACTAATTTGCCTATTACTGTCTCACACATGGATCAGCTTCATTCTCATTTCTTTCGGTTATGGAAACACAAATGATTTTCTCTCTTAATAGAATAGGCCACTGAAACTCAACTTCCAATCTAAGCAGATGATCTGGTAAGAGACGAAGAAACAAATTAAATTAGATCTTCAGGAAAACTGAATCTTATGTTTAGAAGCATAAACATGAAAATTGTTGATCAAAGAAATGGAAAGTAATAATACTAGCAAATCCAGTTACAATAAAACCAACCATCTCTAGCTTAAATGTATAAATATTGTCAGATTTAGTGACAAATAATGAAGTGGATCGCATCTGTTTTTAAATAATGCTAGACCCATACCGAGAAAAAGAAGATCAAAGTGGTAATGAGAAACTGAAACGAATCCACCATCGATGGTAAAAGAATACAAGTTTAGCACCAAGAAAAGGGAAGGGCAAAATTAGGATGATTTTTCATTGTAGAAGTAAAATGAAAGGAACTGAGGTATTTACTCGAGATATCCATGAATGGTTAAGCAATCTACAAGATTGTGATCTTTTAACCTACATGATATTAATAAATAATATAAAATAAAAAAGCACACGCACACAAAAATGCAGTGTGTAATTAAGTCATGCACAAACTTCATTCTCATTATAAACAAAATTCTTCAACTCATCTAACCATGTCAAACTATATAGGAGAAAGAGCATAAAAAGAAAATGAAAAAGTGCATTTTTGTAATAAATTCACCTGCTGCTTATATTTCCTGCTGCCACACACTTCGCAAGCGAATTCCCATCAAGGCCACCAACACTACAGACTTTTACTACCTTCTCAGCATCTTTATTTGTCTTCTTCAAATTTTTACTCGAGCATGACTGCAAGTTTCCCCTCAAATTCCTGTGGGTATCTGCCAATGGACTCGCAGCAAATCTAACCCCACTTTGGTGCTGATCTTTTGGGGTATCCAGCTTAGGCATTTCGGCATTTGCATCTTGATTAGGCATAGTATTCATGGCTGTCAGTGAATGGTTTCTTCCAGAGAAAGAGAACCGTGAAGAAGAATACTGTCCTTCTGTTCTCCTCCAAAACTTTGGCCTCAAAAATTCTGCACCGGGAAGTATGCAACATGCACTTCCTGCAGAGTCGGTGTTTGAAATCCTGCCAGTTGATACTGCTAAATCATATGATATTTCATCCAGTGCCTTCTCTAGGCCATTTACACGTGTTTCCAGGTAATTCATCCCACTTTGAGAGCTGCCAATGAACCTCTACAATCAAGATAAAAAGAAGTTTGAAGTCAGCAGATCCGTCTTTAACAGTGACGTTACAATCAAAATTTGTGTGTTTTATGGAAGGAAACACTTCTCTAAGTTTCATAAAGCAGTAATTATAGTATAACCATCAATAACCAATGTGTTCATGACATACAAAGTATAGCCATTAATAACCAACATGTTCTTCGCCCAAAGTCAAGAGGTCTTGTCAAGGATTCAGTTCCTGACCAAAGGACGAGGCTTTGTTGAGTTCAGTTAAGTAGGTTCTCATTCTTTAGCTCATTAGTTAAAAATATATTCATTGGCATTCTGTTTTATCTTGGAAGAATCTGTAAGTGCAACGCCAAAGAATTTATGAGTAATTCAGTAATTTCAGATGCCAAAGTTGAGCTTAATTGAGACAGGTAATGTCGTTGCCTCTCCAGGAAAGTTGAGCTTATTGAAAATTTATCCCTCCTGGGTAAAGTAATTAACAATTTAACCACTGACAAAAGATTGCAGAGGAGAAACACACAGCCACAGATATGATCCTATAATGCATTTGTACCAAACCACACACTCAGACAGAGAGTAGAGAAGCTTTAGTAACATACCTGGAGGAGCTCTAACAGACTAGATTGTTGGTTTTCAATCTGAACAAGCTGTTTGTGAATCAAATTCAGATCCTCAACATCTTTCTGGTTCCCATCAACATCTTCAGTAGAATTCCTCTGTACCACATTTGGCTTATCATTCTCGTAAAATGGGACCACACGAGATCCAGACCTCAAACCACCAAATTTATGCAATTTTTCATCGCAGGTTATACCAAAGAGGTCACGTTTCGTTTCAGATTTCAAATTCCAATCCCTGCTGCTCTCGTTCACTTTTAAATCTTCACAACCCACTTTCATAGATGAAGGCTGGGGCACCACAATTTCAATGTTCCAGCCAGAGTTCTTACAGTCCAGCTTACCGAACATGGTTGTGCTTGGCTTGATGTCTCTGCTCTTTGAAGGACTTCTTTTTGTCACAATAGTAGCAAATGGATTATCAGATGGAGACAACCTGCTTGTGGGAGCTGTTTTCTTTGGTTTAGGAGTTTCAAAACTGTCGTCACAGGAACTTCTGGAGACAGGAGGGGAGCATCCAACACCGCCATCACCTGATGCCATGGAAAACCAGAGTAACATAAATAACCAGCATTAGCTAGGTTCAACCAATGTTTAATAATTGCATCCTTCAATTAAGAGTTTCCTTAGTTGGCTCCTTTGGGTGTTTGGGAAAAAATAAATCGTTAACTGATCACATCATAAAATCCCCTAAAAAACCATTCTTTGAGGCCATAGACACAACAAAAGTTTCATGGTCTAATGATTTGATGAGGAATGGGGTCACTAGACATGGCAAATTCTTAATGTGGACCATGAAACAACATTACAAATATATTACATCAACATATAAATTTACCCCAAACTGATTGGGACACAATTGAGACACAACACAAGGCGGTTCAATTTGGTTATATGCATTTATTTGGAACAACCATTAATACATATATATATATATATATTATATCAGTAAATAATATACAATGACTTCCTTGAGGGAAAGAAATGTGATAGTTCTATTGTACACTAAACACAACTTCCTTTACAGGTGGATGTCTTTTACTAGCGTCCAAAAAGGTGTGAACAATGGACAAGTGGGAAATTTCCAACACAACACACCATCAGTAAACAGGGAAAGTGTTCTCTATATCATGGCCATGTTATTCTTGATATCCTCCTCTTAGTCCATCTTAAAATTCTTGGAAATTACATTTTCATGGTTTCTTTCCAATAAAACAATTAGGAACCTCATTGACTTTTTACTAGTTTATGTAATTGCAAAATTAGCAATGTGATTGGGCATTCTAATTAAGAGATAATTAGCCAAAATAGACAGAATATTGAGCCAAACCACCGTTACCTTTAGAAGATGATTTAGATTCAGATGGAAACTCCTTCCACATCTCCAAGGTACGATTCATTGTGTCCCGAACAATCTTGACCTGTTGCATCGAATCGAATTTGTTCACAAGATCGAAATTGTCAACAACAAAGCAAAACATCAAATATTCAACAAATCAAGTTTTGCTAGAAGATTAATTAGATTACCTTGTCGAATCTTCGACTCTCCAAAGAAGCCAAACACGAAGACCTGAACTCCGTCACCAGACTCCTCTCTGCAACCGCCAAGCTAGCCAACGCCTCCGCTGCAGCCTTCCTCGCCGCCCAATCTTCACTGCTCAAGAACTCAACTAAGCTAGGAACCAAACTGCTCAACACATTACGATTCGACGCACCTCCGACACTCGCAATGCTTCCAATAACCGACAACAATGCCGGCTTAGCCTTGAAGCAATCGCTCTTCACCAATTTCAGCAACTTCGGCAAGAGCTTCGTCAATTGCTCCGGTTCCGGATCCGGCGACGCCTCGATCGCCGCCGCGAGACACAGCGACGAACCGATCTGCAAATTGTAGTCCTGTTCGTGCAAAATCGAGTCCACGAGCGGCTTCAAAAAGGAAGAGAAAGGAGGTTTGGTGATTTGCGAGGCCATGGAAGAGACGGCGTCGATGCAGGCGGAGCGGACGGCAGAGTTGGACTCACGTAGACGGCGGAGGAGGGCGGAGAGCATTTTGGAGAGGTGAGGAGAGAGAGCGTCGCCGTGTGCGGCGGAAAGGAGGCCAAGGAGACGAACGCATTGTTTCCGGACGGGAGACTTCTCGGAGGAGTCGGTGGAGGAGAGGCAGTTGAGGAAAGGAGAGAAGGAGTCGTGAGAGAGGTTGCGAGCTATGGATTCGAGCTCGGTGGTGGCGACGGAGAGAGTGTCGCGGTCGGAGAGCTTGTTGAGACAGAGAATGACTCGTTGCCGGAGATCGCTAGTTGCAGAAGAAGTGGTGGTGGTGGTGGTGGTGTTAGAGAGAGACATTGTGGCGGAGAGGAGTGTTGAGTGTCAGATTCCGGCGGTGGCGACGGAGGAAGATAGAGGCGGAGCCACCGGTCCCAATGGCGGCATAGGCAGAGAGAGAGAGAGAGAGAGAGAGAGAGAGAGAGAGAGGGAGGGTGTGGGGGGAAGGAGGAGCAAAAAGAAGGGGATTTATTTAAGTAGAGGAATAACTGCAGTGGGGGCGGTTTCCCTTGCTCCTTCTGAATGAGGGGAAAAAGATGAAAGAATAAACATGGGGAAACCAACATCAAACCATTGTTCCCAAAAAAACACTTGGGCAAATTACATATACCTCACTCGATGTTTGGTTAAATTATAGATACTTCTTTAAAGTTTTGAAAATTATATCTCGCTCTCTGAAGTTTATATTTTCATAATAATTTATCCTTTGAAGTTTATATTTCGTAACAAATTACCCCTTAATTTGTTATGTAAATATAGCATTCAGTGGAGAATTTGTAATTTCTCAAACCTCAGGGATATTTGTAATTTAGCCAAACCTCAAGGGGATATATATAATTTGCCCAAAACACTTTGGTCATATATTTCCAAAATAAAAAATATTTGGTAACTCAAAATTTTGTGATTTAAATAGTTTAAATTTGTCAAAACGACATCGTTTTACACTCATTGACACTCAGTCATTTGAGCCACAAAATTTTAAAGTACCTATTCCAAAATAATAAGGCCAAAATTTTGCTCAGTTTGCTTATTGTGTTTTTAAATCTGTTTTTTGAAATAAAATTAAAATTAATTTGGCATAATAAATTTGGATTAATTGCACTTTTCATTTTCGGGGTTATGGCTTTAAACTGAAATTTTTTAAGAATAATGCTAGGGATACTAAATTTTCTACCAAATAAATGATCAATACGGTCAACCCTACATCCTGTGAGATATTTGGTCATTTATTTAGTAAAAAATTTGAGGTCTAATAACATTTTTCAATTTTTAATTCTTACATTTTAAGTATAATTTTAATTTAGTCATTCAGTTCAAATTAGAGATTAAAATTAAAAATTTTAAAACACGTGTCAATTTAGTAAAATCAACAGACAAAATGATCAAATTAAAAGTTAAAATATAGGGATCAAATTATTTAAATTGAAATAATAAGAATTAAAGTAAAATTTGAGTCTGAAAAATGTAATTAACCCAATAAATTTAAAAATATATGTAATATTTACTATTTTTATATAAGTTTCTTTTTTTTGGATAAAAATAATTTGTAAAAATTCAAAATTTTATTATGTCAAACTTATTTTAATTTTCAAAAAAATTCAAAAAATAAGTTCTGAAAAAAATGATATGTGTTCCGATAATCTAGTTTGAGAAACGTTTTTTAAATGCACTCCCCATCTCTAGGAAGTAACTTTAAATTATTTTTTGCATTGTGAGAAAACTTTCTTCATTTTTTAAAATGAAAATGATAGTTTCAAAATTTTCATTATTTTTATTTGGACAAATTATACTAATTGTCATTTTAGTCCCTGTAATTTCAATTAAATTGATTTTGACTTTGAATTTTTTACTTTGTATCATATTGCTCCAATTGATGATCATGTAATGTGTGGTTATTAAGCTTTTAATGTGTAACTAATATATTTAATATATTAAATGTTTTTAGTTTTGAATTTTTGATTTAATGGATTGATTTAATAATGATATCAAAATTGTCGTTATATTTGACTTTTAGAAAAATATAAACTAATTTAATGAAAATAAAAACAATCACTCATTACATGATCAGCATCCAAACACATAATAAAAATTAATTTGATAAAATAAATAAATAAATAAATATGTAAAAGATTTATCAATTTTATATAATTTTATCCTTGGTAGGTAGAAATAATTTTTAAAAATTTAAAAGTATTTTTTTGACATTTAGTTTTGCCAAATTAGTTTATATTCTATCAAATTGACGACTTTACCTTTGAAATTGAGCAATGATATATTCAATTGTCCTTGTTTGAAACAAAATTCAAAATTCATAGTCAAATGTGTCACAATTGAAAAGTTAAGGATCAAAGTGACAAGAGTCGTAAGTTATAAGGACCTTTAGTATAATTCGTCCTATTAATAAATAACATTACATAAATAAGAATCTAAAAGGTCATCCTAATCAAACAACAAAAACCAAAAAAAATAAATCCACCAAAAAAACAATAAAAAGGTGATGTGATAGAAAAAAGATAAAAAGATAAAAAGTGCATACTTATTTTGAGTAGCCAAACTTGACCTAACATAGTTATGCTAATAATACTTTCTAAATTAGAAGTGATTTGATATATGACAAAAATACAATTAGGGCATAAAAAAATTTAGGAAAGCGATCCTGGGTCTGATGATATTCGATAATCAAACTATTTCAATGTACTAATTCGTCACTTGCTACATTTTTGTTTTTGTTTTTTTAAATTTTAAATAGTTGATGAAATACAAATTCTAGTGTCCTTACCCAATACAAATTCTACTATTCTAATGTACTAATTTGTCACTTGCTACATTCCAATGTACTAATTTTAACTTTTTATATAGGTAAATTGCACTTTATTCTATTTATATTTGATCACTTTTTTACTTTGACTTTTAAAATTTATTTTTTCATATTTTAGCCCTTTATTTTTCAAATTTTTTTAGTTTACTCTTAAAGTTAACTTATCATTTTAAATTATCAAAATAAGATCCGTAATAATTTACTTTTCAAATAATATTTATCATTTTATATTTGTAATTTCATAGAGAGCAATTCATATTTTAAAAGATTCTCAATAATTTGTCGCTTGCTACATTTTTCTTTTTGTTTTTTTAAATTTTAAATAGTTGATGAAATACAAATTCTAGGTGTCCCTACCCAATAACTTTTTATAATATGGGTAAATTACACTTAATCCCATTTATGTTAGATCACTTTCTTAGCTCTCGTTTAGTAACATTATTTTTTAGTTTAAAAATTAAAAAGTCACTAAAAAAACTACCAAAAAGTTAAAAATTCTATTTTTTCTCTACTTTTTGTATATTTTTTCGTAAAACATTAAAAAGTCATCCCAAACATATTAGTTTTTTTTTATTATATTTTAGCTAAAAATCAAAAAGTTACTAAAAGAACCTATTCCCAAACGAAGCCTTATTTTGACCTTTAAAGTTTATTTTTTCATACTTTAACCCTTCAATTTTCATTTTTTTTTATGCACTATTAAAGCTAATTTCTATTAAAAATTAGACAAAAAATGACACATTGATAGTCATATGGTATTAAAATATTTTGTTATATATAATTCACGCATCTAACACAAACTCAAACCCTAATATAATATATTTTTATGTTATGTGACAGTATCTTGATATTTTTGTTTAATTTTGAATAGTAGTTAACTTTTAGGAGTAAACTAAAAAAAATTTGAAATATGAATCCCCAAAATGAGAAAAAATAAATCTTAAGGATGAAAAAAAAAAAAGACCAAATCTATAATGGGAAAAGTGTAATTTACCATCTACTACTGTCGATCCCAACCTAATTAATACACATTAGTTTCACATATTGGCATGTCTTTTTTTACAAATTTTTTTTTTTTTCTGCAGGATTTATAAATTTATGGTACCAATTTGTCTCAAGTACGTGGATTGGACTGTGCTATTTGGGTCACCATAATTCTTATTTTAATAATTTAAATCGTTCATTTTTTATATCACAGCACATAGATCATTCATTAAAAAAAAAATTAAAAAAAAGGATCAATCTAATAATTGTAGCTACAGTAATTTAATACATTTATCTCTCAAAATATAAATAGCCTACTTTTTAAATAATGTTTATCATTTTAAATTATTTAAATGAAATCCGTGATAGACCCACAAGTCCAAACAGGACAATCCAGAAGAGAATCTGCTCCCTTTAACAGCAAAAGGCCCAGTTTTGTTAGCTTTTTCATTGGGTTTTTAATTAACTTTTAGCTTTATATGGTCCTATTTGAATTATTTTTTAATTTTTATTTTACTTTGGTAAATTATAAATACATTTTCTAAAATTTATTTTAAAATGCAAATTATCCCATGTAATTTGGAAAATTAGAAATATCCCATTGTCAAAAAATTTATTTAACAAAATCAATTGAAAAAATGAAACTCTCCTATACAATAATAAAATGGGAGAATTTCAATTCAGTGTAAATCTTTAGAAAATATTACAAATAAGTGGTAAACTTTATACGCATTAATAATTAAATTCATAAACTTTTTCTTGATTCTGTAATAATTTTGTGATAGTTCCCCTAATAAAATTATCTCAATTATTAATTAAAATAAATTCCTAATATCATTAAAAACTGTTAATGGATTTGATAATTTATTTGTAAAAAAAAAAAAACTGATCATTTATTATGAAATTATAAACTTCAACGGGCGAAATATAATTTTCAAAACCATAGAGAGCAATTCGTATTTTAAACAAATTTCATGGGGTATATTTGTAATTTACTCTATACTTTTTATGTGCTTTTAATATGGGTTTTGTGAGAATTTTATTTTTTATTTTTTATAATCTAAAGTCATAAATTAAAATATCCAAGAAGTTTTAAAATTTTATTTTAAAAAAGAAACTAGTAAAGAATGGGATAATTCTATTTTCACACACTAATTTCTCTCAGTATACATACTTAATGAAAACCTTCTCAATACGCACATTATAAAAGTAGAAATTCTTAGCACATATCTCTTTATTCCAATATTACTCTCATTTTCAATTTTAAAGCCATAAGGCTATGTTTAGTTTCAATTTTTGAATCAATTTTTTAAAAATTTTCTGAGAAAACTATAAATTAGTTTGACAAAAATACATAATAATAAAAAAATTAAATTTTGTTTCCCCTAAAAAGATAAAACCATGTTGAAATAAGAAGTTTTATTTATTTTTTTAAAAATATATTCTAAAACTAGACCAAACACAGTCTATTTTTTTTTTTTTTTATTCACCCACTTCTCCTTTTCTACCGTTGTTGGGACTTTCAACCTTCCATTGCCACCACTATCGCCACTTCTAGCCCATCTCCCTCCATCCTAAACTTCCACAGTTAACAGGAGACTTGTGGGAGTGTATGATTTATGGTGGAAAGTGATTACAAGCAGGCCATGTTTGTTTGGGTGGACATGAGCTTGGGATTGGACT